CGCTCCACCATCATTTGTTGCTTGCTCGATTCTCTTCAGAGTCTCGTCTGCAAACTCCTGTATCGAAAAGTGTCAAAGTCAAAGCTAAGTGGGGAATGACTTGGTCGAGTCCTTCCTTTGGTTCGATGGCAGGCGGCACAAACACCAAGACAAACAGAGCCGTGCAGCTTCAAGTTTGTGTACTCCTACGAGTGTGTGTTGTCCTAGCTGAGGCGAAGAGGAATTATTTTTCCAGGCAAAAGTGCAACTTGGCCAACATCTTGGTTTGGCAGCCGCCAGAGCGTGGAGCAGGACAGCATCCCAGGCATGTGGCCCACTGACAATGACAGCTGTTCGCTGTGTGATAGGAAGATATATGTACGTTTTTGGGGAGGTATGGGGGGTGTACAGCATGGCACGGTAGTGCTAGGAGCAGGAGCATTCAGCTTGGCTATGACATTTCACTTGGTTCCTCGCATTTTCACTAAATTGACTTTGCCTTCTATCGTTTAGGGTGCCCCACACTCGCTTCGCTCGAGCCCTGGCCCATCTCCCGCTGGGCCCCCTGCTGGTCGTCCCTTTCGCTTGCTTTCATCCACGCCCCATCCATTGCCAGAGTGCCGGCTCTGAGTGCAGCAATTTTTTATGCTCCGCTGGGCAGCGCCAACGGCAGCAGAGGAAACACCTCTCCACCCTGGAGGATCCATTTCGGTGGCATTCGGCAGCCACTTTCGACTGTCCCCCCAATGAAACTTTGGGAGACAGATTTAGAGAGAGAGAGAGAGAGACAGAAAGAGGGGAAGAGGGGAAGACAGCGGTAGAGATTGCAATCTATAAATATCTAAAATCCCATAAAACTCAGCTGGAAATGGGCGAAAGGGTTGGCAGATGGCAAAAAGATGGGGCTGAGGTTAAGGTTGAGATTTGGCTGGTCGGGTCTGTGTCTACTCCCAGCAAATGTCATCATTGGAACTGTGGCCATAGAGCAGGTGAAATGAGGGAAGGGCGGGGAGGGAGAGGGAGCGGTAGGATGGAACTCTATGCCTATCCAAATCTGACATGCGGTTGCCTTTCAATTCAACCAAGAGAAAGTGCTGCACGAGGAGAAAATATTTTTGTGGTACAGTGCTTTAAATTTAAGAATAATCTTAACATCTAGCTTGGAAATCAATTAACCCTTCTATACTCGTAATTACTAACAACACAACAAAGATGCTATCTAAATAGTATAATATTTGTACAAGAAGATAGAAATTATAAATATAATTTTATATATATGTATTTATGGACACATACTATAATGTATTATGAGATTTCATATGGTCCAAACTAGTTTCAGAAACCATGATGGAATAGTTTCGAGTGTATAAATGGATCTGGAAATGGAATCCGGGCGAACTGCGGCAATATTTGAGGATGATTGCAGGCTTGTGCAAGCGGCTTTCATGTACGTGAACAGCAAATTTATTTGCACAACTGCGATTGATGCTTGCCACCAGTGCGACCCACGGTACGACCCAAATACGTACTCGTATACCGTGCCCCACTCTGTGGCAGCTTCAACCTGGATGGATTTTCCATTGCAAAATGTTGCTCTGTCAAAGTTTGGCATTGCCAAATGCTCGCCTTACTTCACTCGACTCCTGCTCCTCTTCTGGCCGTCTGTCGCCAGTCTGTCGACCGTCGCCTGTCGCCTGTCTCCTGTTCAGCTCTGATGTGCACCCATAAAAGTCTGTTGCATAAACCAATATCGCTTTTGCTCTACTCTGCCACCAAATGCAGATGCCACAAGTGGGGGCATGGGTGACTGGGGGACCACGGTGGGAGGCAGCCTGATTCTGTCAGCGCAACTTCTGCGATCCGATGGTGGGAGCGGAGCGGCAATCGTTTGCTGATAGCGTAAACCGCTTTGATTTTTATTTAACTGCACATTTCTCTTTGGGACAGGGTAGGACACCCTTGGGCCCCCACAGCACAGCACAGCGCAGCAAACCACCCCACACCACCCTTCTATTGCAAGTTGCAGCCCCTCAATCGACATTTAATGGCAACTTGTGGAGGATTTTGCGATTCGATTCGCTGGAGAATTGCAATTTTCTGCGGTTTTCCAATTTTTCCCAATTTCACAATTTTTCATTTGCCTTAACTTATTGCATTTATTTATTTTGTGCGACGCCACCCATCCTCCCCTACCCTCTCCTCTCTGACTCTCTTTTCTCTTCTTTCTTCAGTTACTTTTTTCCTCATTTTTGCCTTTATGCTTTTCTGCCTTTTGCCGTTGAACGAGCGAAATTGATAATTTATAAAATTGCTGGCAAATGGCAACACGAAAAGAAAAACCATTTGGCTTTCCCAGCAGCAGCACCAGGACCCACTGCCCACCAGCCACCAGTCACCAGCCACCAGTCACTCCCTTCCATCAGCCCACCCCGCTGAGCTGTGTGCAACACATTTGCCGCGTTGCCTCATGAAATATTTGGCAAGTTTCGGCCGTTACCTTGACTTGATAGAAAGCATCCTGCGGCAGCCTGGCGGCCACTTTATGGAGGGGCTTCTGTACCCCCGTTTCCCAGACTCAGTCTCTCCAGTCCCCTCCAGTGCCCCTTGCTGCCCTCTGCCCTCTAGCATCCATTAAATTATGCAAAATACACACACACACACACACTCATTGAAAAAGGAGTTTCCCTGCTTTCTTTTTTGTCTTTGCCTTTCCTTTTTGTACATATTTGCAGAGAGTGTTGCCATTTTAATCAGCTGTTGAAACGCACATAAGGAATCATTTCGTACCCTGTAGATGCAATCTTTAATATACTTATGTACATATTCTCTTGATCAGTTTCAATATATGTAAGTCTCATATGTAGGTAAATTCTTGGCTGGTTATTAGCTGTCGCATAAAAAGTCTTTGGGGAAAATACACTTGCTTTTTGAAGATTACCCGACCGAAATGTTAAAAAGTAGGTACAGTAGGTATAATATATCTTCATCTTTTTATCATACTATACAAAAAGTTTTGGGTCGTGTCGTCGCGGGATCTTTAACTCATATCGGTGGGAGAGATATACATACATATATCTATAATCAATTTATACGTGCACCTGTCTATTTATATGTACATGTCTATAATAAATATATCTATTATATTTCTTTTCTGGAGCTTAGTGTAAGAGTATATAAAGCTTGGGCTTTTTTCGCGGTTGCTTTTCTGTTTTAAGGAAATATATTTTGCACTTGGCTGTTGCTTTTACTTAACCAACTGAAGCGTGGAACCTACCCCTACCCTACCCTTTCGAGCCCCCATAGCCAGACCCTACATTCTGCCCTCCCCCCGTATTTATTTGGCGCTTCGCTGCTTTTATTTTATTGAAATTTATGATTTCTGACACAGAATTTATGTTGTTTTGCATTCGGGAGTGTGCGGGAGCATAAAATAAACCTCAAATACTCGTAAAATGCCCGGCCCAGAGAGCTCTATGCTCCCTCCCTTCTCCTATGGCGTAGTGCGGGCCACAGTCCCCAGCTCCACTCCCAAGGAGAGAATTGGCGTGTCCCCCAGTGCGAGCTTCTTGTTTGGTCTAGCCCCAGTCTCTGTACATCTGTACCAGTAACGGTATCTGTGTCTGTGTGTGTGCGTCTGCATCTCTGTACGTGGGCCTGGGTCTGATTCTGGTCCTCGACTTGGACCTGGCCCATGCGCGTGAATTATTTAATTCGTATAAATATTGAAAACTCAATTTTTTATGATGTTTTCTTGTTTGGTTTATTGCTCTTTTGTGGCACTTCCATATCACACAACTTGCCTCAGCCACAGTTCCTTTCTGGGTGTGTGTGTGTGGGCGAGACAGTGTATATTGATATTTCCCACTTCCGATTCACAAAAAAAAAATAAAAAACAGCAAGAGAGAGGCAATAAAGAAATCGCACTGGGTTTAAATCCTTTATGGGAATCCCTTTAAATAAATTCTGAAAAAGCCTTACTCTGAAGATGCAGAAGCGCAGCATTGACTACCTAGAGGATATCCAAAACCAGACCGAAGAAATCGCTCTACGTCATTAGAGGCTTTATCTACTGATATCTAGCACCAAAATAATCCACAGGTAAATACAAAACATCAACAACTGCCTGATTGGAAGCATTATGGAATAATTCCATAGATGTACGAGTATGTGGCTGATTGATGGCCATCACCCCCAACAGATCTTCATCAGTTTCATCCGCATTGGACCATCTTCAAGCCCAAAGTGGGGTATCCGCAACTCCCGTCTCTCAAGCTTCCATAGATTGCAGGTCCAATACACAAAACACTAAGTGTGCTATACACCCAACAATTTGGAGGAGCACTCCCACCTCCCATGCAGAGCTCGTATTTATATTTACCAGAGTGAGTGGAAACAAGGCCAGCCCATATCTGAATAGAAGGCTTCTGTTCGGAGAGCACACATCCTTCCACTCAGAGCCACACACACAGTTGAAATAATCCCCAAAAGATGAAAATTGTGCAAAATTTGTGTTGGTTTCACTGATTAAGGATGGCTTACTGGCTGCTTGTCGGTTGCCGAGCCATTGCTGGGCTGTTGCCAGCCTCCAGCCCGCCGCCCCACCCAGGGAAATCTCTTGAAACCCGAAAAGATGAATATACCAGACCAACATCTAATATGTGCGAAATTTATCAGCCCCGATACACACACACACTTATCTGAGAGGGGCCAAAAGAGGACAAAGGAGCCACTAGGATGAAGGCAAACGGCATGGAAAATCGCAAAAATAATTTTGGCTTTCAGCTTTGTGCTGCTCAGGGTAGAGTGTGCTCTCGAGGCATGTGGGTTGCATTCGATTGCAGCGAACCGGCCCCTCCCGGCCCGTCCAAAGGATGCCCGGTTCAGGAGAATTCGAGTGGACAGTTGCGGTGTCCATGTCCATGCACACACGGACGCACGTCCGGACACACTCGAATGCTCCAATTATGCCAAGCTATGCAGGGGTAACCGCAACCCAACCAGGAATCGAAGCTCCTGCCGTGCTTGCTATGCAGATGCAGATGCTCAACTGAGTATCCCTTATATTTTCGTTATGCTTGTGGGTTAGTTACAGTAACAGTTGGATTAAATTGTACAATGCATGTGGGGGAGACACGGCTCCACCATGGGAATGCCCTGTCTTGTCCTAGCCCGTCTAGTCTCGGCTTTGGGGCTCGTCGCGCTCTGGGGTTCGGTGCTTTGTCCTTTGTGCATGTTCTTGGTCCGTATCGGGTGAGGCTGCTGGGGCTTGTGGTAGGTTAGGTTCGTTAGTAGGATTAGCAACCGATCATGTGGAGATATCCCTGAATCTGTTCACCCAGAGCATTCCTGGAGATAGAAGTTGATTAGTCCAGCTCTAAAACAGGCAGAAGCAAACACTTACCCTACACCAGAGAGTCCCTTGCCATTGACGGTCGACTTTTTGTAGAGCGCGGCCATCAGCAGGATCTGACCGGTCATCAGCAGCTCGCGCTTGCCGCAGCTCAACCAGCCCTTGGTCCCTTGTTGGCTGGACAGAGGCTGCTCACGTCGTACGGACTCACGAACCTCACGACGATCTAATCGTTCACCAGCCTCACGTCTGGAGAGATCCCGCTCTGCTCGAGCCAAATCACTTCCATCCACGCGTCGCATATCATTCCGCTCATTTTCCTCTCTACGGACTTCATCGCGGTCCACACGTTGTTCGTCCCTGCGACTATCCAATCGTCGAATTGCAGAATGGTCACGAGCTTCCTCGCGGTCTTCGCGATGCTCACGTTCTTCACGTATTGACGAGTCATGTTGGACCCGTCGAAAATCGCCTCGTTCCACTCGTCGAAAGTTTTCACGATCTATTCCGCGCTCGTCCCTATGACCAGCCAATCGGCTAGCATCAACTCGCTCACGCTCTTCACGCCTTGAATAGTCGTGATCGTCCTGTCGGAGAACGGCTCGTTCCAGACCACGAGATACATCTCGTTCGATAAGACGCAGGTCTTCCCTTTCCACCTGACGCCTGCTCTCCCTGTCAACAGTTTCTACCCTTCGATCAATGCTTCGCCTTTCATTAGCTCGGAAGCCCCGTTCATCTGTTTTAGATTGACGCAATTCTTCGCGCTCCACTCGACGGGAAGATTCCCGCACCCCTCGACGCATGTCATCACGTTCCTCCCGCCGTGTGTTCTCCCTGCGACTGTTTTCACGGTCTTCACGTCTAGATACCTCTCGTTCTTCACTTCGGACTTCTTCGCGCTGCACCTGAACTCGTCGGGATTCATGTCGTTCCGCTAGTCGCATGTCCTCTCGTGTATCCTGGCGTTTGACATCGACTCTCTCGCGCTCCTCGCGTTCTCCAAGTTTTGACATGTCACGTTCCGATCTTCGTGAAAGCTCTTGTTTCTCACGTCGCTCCACTATTTTTTCCTCTCCGCTTAATTTGAAGCGCCTATCTAAATCACGCTCATTAGACTCTCGCTCCTGAAGCCTTGCTAAGTCTTGTTCCGAACTTCGAAGATCGTCTCGTTCCACAAGACGCTGGGATTCACGGTTTACTCGCTGTGCTGATTCCCGATTAATTCTTCGTGAGTTTTGTCGTTCAACTCGCCGTAAGTCATCTATATCTGTCCGTTGGAGGGTCTCCCGGGTAGCTCGTGCATCGCGACGGCTATCGGATGAATCTTCACGTCTTAAAACCTCTCGTTCTACATTTCTAGAGCTGACTCGATCTTGTCTCTCGTTAGATGCATCCAATCGCCTTCCTTCGGCGCGATCGCGTTCCGCACGGTGATCGCGTCTGGAAACTTCTCGTTCTACCGACCGTTCACGTTCCTCCTGCCGCACTGCCCTTTCCTCACGAACCTCACGCTTCTGGCTTTCAACTAGTTCTCGAACATCCCGGGTCCTATCCTCCACTCGTTTCGATTCCCGATTGATGAAGGGCACCTCCTGCCGCAAGACTCGCGAGAGACTCTCTCGGTCAGCCTCCAACCGGACTTTCGTCTCTTCGCGCCGCTCGTCCCGACGATCGTCACGGGCCGCGGACTGCACAGGGACTCTCCTTTGGGTGTGTTGCTCGCTGCGCTCCGGGGCTTGTCTGTACACCAGGCGCTCATCGTATTCCCCCAGACTTCGGGCATCCCACTGGCGGCTGCTGCAGACGGATGGATCACGGTCACTTCCACTGCAGAAATATCTGCTGTTGGCAAGGGCCAAGTTTAAGCAGCCAAGCTGGATCAGCAGGAAAAGGGCGCTTAGCCTCAACCTCCTAGCTTGCACTACCATTGCAGATGGGTCAGAGATTCGGTTCAGGTACTGGATATTAATCGATGAGTTGGTTCGTTGCTGTTGCACCAGCAGTCTTCAGAACTTGACTGAATTCACCAGTAGAAGGTCTCCGCTTTTATAGCAAACCATCCTCGACTCTGTGTGCTGGGCACTACTGGTGTGGAACCCGTGGCCGCACCAAAGCCCACGCATTTGATGCGACACTTCCTGCTCGATGAGCTTCAATTTTCTCTTGATTGATTGAATTTCGCTTATCGCACATGTGCACCACTGCGCCACCACACTTCGGTGTGGCGCAGACGCGTGGACTCCACTCAAGTGAGCCTAATGCGTTGCTCCTGTTCCAATTTTCATGAATGAAATTGCGAGTCCTTCGATTGCTTCTGACGTCACTGGCATCTTTGTCGTGGATACGACTGCTATGTAGAGGCACAAAACCATATACATGAAAAGATAAAATTCTATTTACTACGACTATAGTGGTCTTCAAGCAAACATGACGTCAAATGCTGTATCTATACATCCATTCCTACCCCAGCTCCTGCTTTGCAGAGTGCACAATTGCGATAACTTCAATTCAATCAAAATCAAATTAGAACGCAATGAACAATGTGGCTGGCAAAGAAGCTAACTCAATGAATGGCCATATATCCAGTACTTAGATGGGCATCTGGCCGTAAAATTGTGTACAGCCGGAGCAACTGTGACCAAGCAAACACTCTGGCTATAAAAGACCCAGGACTCCTCTCGCGTGGGTGGCAGTCGATTGGATTGACGAGTAGAGAGCGGTTGTGTGGGTCACCAGGCTTCGGCTGGCCTCGGAGCCGAAGGAAGGACAGAAATCTGGAGACAGCCGCCTGGACTTGGACCCATGATTGGAGGCGCAGCACTCTCCACCGGACACCGGACATTCGGCAGTGCAGCTGAAGAAACCCATCTAATATCGCTAGTTAGGTGTCTATAAGTTGTTAACTAAAACAAAGTTGTTTCCGTTTCATCGATTACATATTGGCCAATTGTATTTTAGTACATAGTGTAACCATAATCACTGTTATCTTAGCCAGTTAAATGTTGCTGTTGTTTGGGATCGTATTGTCATAACATAGAGCGGAAAGTTTTGAGCAGCTTCTTCTCTTACTCGTCTAGCCATATCTATATATGTATGCAACTTCTACTCTTACCTCTAACGGATATCAATCGATATTGAATATATAAGTATGTAAACCTTTGCTAAATGCACGATACAAGAAGCACATATGATGACGATGATTTTTGTTTGTGGGGATCGCCCGAGCCATCGGTAGTTATCCATCCATCCGTATGCATAATCTAAATATCCAAAAATATTGTACTCGAATATACGTATTATCAAAAAATACATTTGCAACAATAATTTTCTTTTATATTGGAATATCGTGGGGGAGCTGGTTTTGCGGCGAGAGTTTAACAAAATGGTTATATCCAATAGAGTGTATACTAGAGCCCTTCATGAATCCATGCCTCTTTAATGCTTTCGATTATTATCCGAATCCTGCCCTTCAGTCAGATTCGAATCAGCCCGAGTCCGCAAAAACCGAGTCCGATCATAGCGGGCTAAAATCAGCAAGTTCTTTTTCCATGTTTCTGGTATATGATAATGATCACATTCGGCTTTTCTTTTGCACTGCTAAAAAGAAAGAAAACGTGCGCACACACACAAATAAATATTTTCAGGCAAAGGGCGAAGCAAAAAACCAGCAAATTATTGTATTGCATGCTCATTGTCATTGTCTCTACCAGAGAATCAAATCGAGAGTGAACGAGAATTCGGGCTTGATTCGGGCGAGGACTCAACCTGCGATTGAAGCACCACGGCTCCGGACAGCTCCCGTTCAGGAGCGATTCAAAGAACTCTTTCCCATTTGTACATGCAGGAAGGATTATTTAAGATCAAAGATTAACTGCAGAAAAACTTAAACATACCGCTCAATCTCGACTCCATTTTCGCCGGCTCTATATTAAGTGATTTAACTCATTTCAGGTACGTTATTTATCCGTTTTAGGACATTTCGTGTACATTCGGTATTACTTTAGATACGTTTTGGACTTACCTTCAGTTCGTTTGCAACTTAGAAAATATATCCAAGTCACAAACAATCGAAATAAGAACATAAAATATTTATACCAAGCCCATTTCTATAGCAAGCAAATCCCGATTTGTTCTCGAACTACTCCCGAATGGACCTCAAAAAAAGTACAATACGGACTTACTTAATAACTTAGAATTACCATACCATATATCTTTTTCTTATAAACGGTATAGCAAAAATGTATTTTGTTTCACAGTTTTTCTCCTAGGATTTTTGGGCCCTTTCATTGAGTTTAAATGAGTCATGTATTTCCTTATAATCTTATGGTAGGTACATTAATATGTCAGTAAAATTAGGCTTGCGCTTATTATTATGGGCGAACAAAAAAGGGCCGGAATCAAAGGACTCAGGGTCTAAAAATGTTCGTTTTAGTAAAAAACAATAAAATATAAAGTTTAAGCCCGATTCGACAACGTTTAGAGGTGCCGACTTGAAGTCAAAGTTGAAATGTATTTGGCCAATGGTTCCTATGGCAGTTTTATTATATAATGCTCTGATGGATTGCATTTTTATACCCGATACTCAAAATGAGTATTGGGGTATATTAGATTTGTGGTGAAAATGGATGTGTGTAACGTCCAGAAGGAATCGTTTCCGACCCTATAAAGTATATATATTCTTGATCAGCATCAATAGCCGAGTCGATTGAGCCATGTCTGTCTGTCCGTCTGTCCGTCCGTCCGTCTGTCCGTCCCCTTCAGCGCCTAGTGCTCAAAGATTATAAGAGCCAGAGCAACGATGTTTTGGATCCAGACTTCTGTGATATGTCACTGCTACAAAAATATTTCAAAACTTTGTCCCGCCCACTTCCGCCCCCACAAAGGGCGAAAATCTGTGGCATCCACGTATCGACGATACGAGAAAACTAAAAACGCAGAATCGTAGAAGATGATTAAATCTTCTAGAGTGCAAAATCTGAACCAGATCGTATAATTATTATAGCCAGAATCAAGAAAACAATTTCACTCTTTCTCGCTCTGTCTCACTCTAACACACAGGTTTCATGGTCGGTTTTGTCAATTGCAAAATATGAGTTCAAGGATCTCAGAACCTATAAGAGCCAGAGCAACCAAATTTGGTATCTACACTCCTGTCTTATCGGACCTTGACCATTTTGTGTCAAAATTTCGTCACACCCCCTTCCGCCCCCGCAAAGGACGAAAATCTGAGGCATCCACAAATCTCAGAGACTATTAAGGCTAGAGTAACCAAATTTGGTACACATACTCCTTTAAGATGTCACTATAAAACGTATATCTCAAAATTTCGCCCCACCCCCTTCCGCCCACACAAAGAACGAAAGTCTGTTGCATCGACAATATTGCAGATTCGAGAAAACTAAAAACGCAGAATTATAGATAATGACCATATCTATCAGATTGCTGAATCTTTATCAGATCAGATAATTTTTATAGCCAAAGGGAACAAATCAATTTGCACTGGCTACGCAGCGCCCGACGTCACGCTCAGACTGATTTTCTGTCTCTCTCGCACGCACTCTTTGTCGTGTCGTTAAATATTAGCGGCGTCTGCCGGAGGAGAGCCATACTGACTTAGTATCGGGTATAACTGTAGAGTTGCGGTGTCCGCAGCAACTCACAACGTTCACAACCACATTAGAGCATTTTGATAGTCTTTATTACTTGCATTCTGAAGAATCTTCAGCTACAAAACCTTGGGAAATATATTGCTCCATCATTTCTCGTTCCTCCATGAAAGTAACTTTGTCGTCACACAATGCAAGTGCATTTTTTTTAGAAAAACGCTTGCAATATTCGGATCAACTTCTTTAATAATACATATATATATTATTATTTCGCATACAAATTGAAAGTCCAGATTTAGAGGTTCAACAGCTAATGATGATATTCTTAATATCGGCATTGAATGAAACGATCTCTGTAATGACTGTCGCACCCTCTTTTCTCTTGGTCTTGGGACTTTTGCTTCGGACTTGGTCCTTCGCTCGGATTTTCGTTGAGCTTTTTTCACCGAGACTGTGTCTTGTCCAGCAACATGCCTTGGTCTTTGGTTCTGGCGCTTCAGTTCAAGAAATCTCTTGTCCTCTTCAGTTTGCATCTTCGACATGGCATCTGCGTGTGCAATATCGAACAAATGGTCATAATTAGCTATAAAAGCAGCTTTCTTTGCTTGAAAAGAGTCTACAGTTTAATTCTTCCTTCTTTTACAATTTTCCCATTTCCACTAATTCCATAAGATAGCCACACAATGACATTCCTGGCTAATAATAATTCGCGCTATTTTCAAAAACATACGTGTATACTGTAATTGTAGAAAAATGCAAACAGCACTTGTTTTATTAATGGAAACTTAGTTTGTTTTCCATCCAGATGGATGCATCGGTTCAATTTTTGATCATCAAAATGACGTAGTTTCCCACCAGACAACGAACTTATCCATAATACATAAACATATACATATTTGTACAGACTCAACACTTTTTGTACCTTTTGTTACCTATAAATAAGAATCAATTTTATCAATAAAGTCAGCATCAGAAACAGTACCACAACTGTCTGTCACTCATCTTCCATCGCAATCATCAGAGGCTGTCGCCGTGTTTTCAGACCCTCCTTTACGCATCGTAGGATACCCACTCCGCAGTCCAACTGGTTCAAGTTCTAGTTGCAACGACCAAACTGAAGACGGTTTATGTGCCGTAAGCAACCCATCTTCCTACACACACACACACATTAACACTAAGCGATATCAAAAGATATCAACCTACTATCTAAGGATAGGAAGGCTGTGTTAGGAATTCCTAAAAGTCCCGAGCATCTGTCGAAGGATAAACATTAGAGACCCATTTACGTCGATATACGAAACAGTGCCACGCAGCGTGTCGAACCCCTAGTTCAGGGGCATGGGACGCTCCTCGATGTTCTCCATCCAGGCACCCGCACCCTCGGAC